TTTGATCCCCTGCTGATTTTGTACATTTGCCCACTGACAAAGAAATGGTCAGTCTATAATTTTAATGGTAGGTTTATTTGAACAGTGAGAGACAGAATAACAACAAAAAAATCCAGAAAAACGCATGTCAAAAATGTTATAAATTGATTTGCATTTTAATGAGGGAAATAAGTATTTGACCCCCTCTCAATCAGAACGATTTCTGGCTCCCAGGTGTCTTTTATACAGGTAACGAGCTGAGATTAGGAGCACTCCCTTTAAGAGTGTGTTCCTAATCTCAGCTCGTTTCCTGTATAAAAGACACCTGTCCACAGAAGCAATCAATCAATCAGATTCCAAACTCTCCACCATGGCCAAGACCAAAGAGCTCTCCAAGGATGTCAGGGACAAGATTGTAGACCTACACAAGGCTGGAATGGGCTACAAGACCATTGCCAAGCAGCTTGGTGAGAACGTGACAACAGTTGGTGCGATTATTCGCAAATGGAAGAAACACAAAAGAACTGTCAATCTCCCTCGGCCTGGGGCTCCATGCAAGATCTCACCTCGTGGAGTTGCAATGATCATGAGAACGGTGAGGAATCAGCCCAGAACTACACGGGAGGATCTTGTCAATGATCTGAAGGCAGCTGGAACCATAGTCACTAATAAAACAATTGGTAACACACTACGCCGTGAAGGACTGAAATCCTGCAGCACCCGCAAGGTCCCCCTGCTCAAAAAAGCACATATACATGCCCGTCTGAAGTTTGCCAATGAACATCTGAATGATTCAGAGGACAACTGGGTGAAAGTGTTGTGGTCAGATGAGACCAAATGGAGCTTTTTGGCATCAACTCAACTCGCCGTGTTTGGAGGAGGAGGAATGCTGCCTATGACCCCAAGAACACCATCCCCACCGTCAAACGTGGAGGTGGAAACATTATGCTTTGGGGATGTTTTCTGCTAAGGATACAGGACAACTTCACTGCATCAAAGGGACTATGGACGGGGCCATGTACCGTCAAATCTTGGGTGAGAACCTCCTTCCCTCAGTCAGGGCATTGAAAATGGGTCGTGGATGGGTATTCCAGCATGACACTGTCTCAAAACACACGGCCAAGGCAACAAAGGTGTGGTTCAAGAAGAAGCACATTAAGGTTCTGGAATGGCCTAGCCAGTCTCCAGACCTTAATCCCATAGAAAATCCCGGGAGGGAGCTGAAGGTTCGAGTTGCCAAACGTCAGCCTCGAAACCTTAATGACTTGGAGAAGATCTGCAAAGAGGAGTTGGACAAAATCTCTCCTGAGATGTGTGCAAACCTGGTGGCCAACTACAATAAATGTCTGACCTCTGTGATTGCCAACAAGGGTTTTGCCACCAAGAACTACGTCCTGTTTTGCAGAGGGGTCAAATACTTATTTCCCTCATTAAAATGCAAATCAATTTATAACATTTTTGACATGCGTTTTCTGGATTTTTTTGTTATTCTGTCTCTCACTGTTCAAATAAACCTACCATTAAAATTATAGATTGATCATTTCTTTGTCAGTGGGCAAAGTACAAAATCAGCAGGGGATCAAATACTTTTTTTTTCCCTCACTGTATATGTTGTCCTGTAAGCCAATTGATTCAAACTAACGTCTGTATTAAGTCTGTGGGTAATCTCCACACTCAGGCAAGGCATCTGTCTAATTGCAGTTTATCCCTTTAAACTAGATTAATAAGAATAAACAATATTATATTAAAAACAACACCGTTCTTAAATGAATTCCCAACTGCAGCGGTTGTGTGTGAGTTCTCACATGGTTAAACAAATAAACTCGTTATACAATTAACAATGGCTCCATGTGATTGTGGAATGATGAATCATTCACTCCTGGCAACGGCAAGTTCCCACTCAACGTGTGTGCACACGATGTGTTTTCGCGATCACGCAGTTTTGCCATTCGGGAACACTTTCTTCACAACGCGGAACGCGCGCCGTTATTAATGAGAAAAGAGCGCAGTTATAACAAGATAAATGAGCACCGTTATAGCGAGGAAAATGAACACCGTTATAATAACTGTACGAGGAATAATAACTGTACGCGTCAGCGCACCCTAATCTCAGTTCTTTGTCCCATCATTTAATTGCGCATGCGTGCATTGTACCTTGTCACACAAACTTTATCGTTACATTATATCGTATGGGGAAATGTTTTTAGCTGAACGTGTTTTTCGCTTAACGCAGCACTTTTCAGCAACGCATCCACCGCGTTAGAACGAGGAATCACGGTGCAGGGACACAGCCAAAAGTGTCCCACTGGTTCGTATGAATGTATGTTGAGCTTCTTTCGCACCGTACGTAGCCAATCGTGCTAATTGGAAGTTCGAGGTTCCTGGTGATAATTGGAGATATTCATTCTGCGTTGGACATCCTCTCTGGTGTGTTCCCTCCTTCGGCTGCCAATCCATTTCTAGTTCCCTCTCTCCACCAAAAGGCTTTTTGCAACTCCATCCTCACAGCATAATTGTCAACATTTATATCACCTTGTTCAATGGAGAATAGGTCAGAAACCCATAACACATATAGTGGCTGCACCCCTGGAACTATATCAATGTATTCTTAGCTCTTTCGGTAAAGTCACGTTGAAGGGAAACAATAAAATAATAAAATATATATAAAACAATAAAAATTCTCACGACGTTTCGACCATAACACAAACGGTCGTCATCAGGTGTGTCGGTTTGCATTAATTTATTTATTTTTAAACGGTGTATTTATTTATAAAAAAACGTCAGCGCCACGCGCAGCGATTTGGCAGTTTATTTAGAAGGACTAGTCCATCTATGCTCTGAACCTCTGTCTTGGAAAAGTCATTGACAATGAAAAGTCATTGACTTTTCCAAGACAGAGGTTCTTTGTAAGCCATCTAGCTACCATGAGAGATTCGTTCATGAGGCTATCCACATATACAAGCACAGAGACAATTTCAACCGAGAAGATGGATTCTGGCTTAGCAATCATTGGAAAGATTTGATAAACCATTTCAGGTCTTAATTGATTGTTCACGCTTAAAGTGGCTTTCAGACAGCATACATTAATTTTTCGTCTCCCCCCTCCTCTTTTCAGAACATAGATGGACTAGTCCTTCTAAATAAACTGCCAAATCGCTGTGCGTGGCGCTGACGTTTTTTTTTATAAATAAATAAATACACCGTTTAAAAATAAATTAATGCGAACCGACACACCTGATGATGACCGTTTGTGTTATGGTCGAAACGTCGTGAGAATTTTTATTGTTTTATATATATTTTATTATTTTATTGTTTCCCTTCAACGTGACTTTACCGAAAGAGCTAAGAATATGAATTACTGCAGTCACGAAAGCTTTAAATCAAAATGTATATCAATGTAATTAAGTGAACCTGTCTTTAAGGAACAACTAAAAGAGATAAATGCATGTCACCCATGCCACAAGGCTATGATCATTCTAATAATAAAGTTCACTCTGCCGGTGCCACTGAGGCAGTGAATGTAAGGTGCCCCTGGTGCTGCGTGTTGCTGTAATGGACTCTTGGCACAAGTCGTTCACTTATGTAACTTTCCCACCATCCATCTCATGGGCTCTTCACGACATCATCGCTCATTTCATTTCATTCGAGATGCCCATGGGTTTGCCAAGCAAATTCATTTCTCCATTCGCTCCCGAACGAATTTTTCCCCCAACCGCGCTGCACTGTCTCCATCTCTCCCGTTCACGTCTCAAACATTTTTTTTGCGAAACCTCTTCTCCAAACTCACACTGACCTCTGAATTTGCATATATTACCATATCATATGCGCACCCGTTTGATACCAATTATAGTATATTATCGCAACACTGCATTGTGATGAAACCGTATTGTAGGAAAGCAAAGGAGTTGTCCTGTGGATATATTTCCCCCCTAGGAATGTAAAATGTAACGCCACAGGCTCAGAGTCCCCAGTGCTGTCCCCCACCTTAGGTTAATGTTGATTAAATGATGACCACTTAGGCCATTATGAGGACACGACACTTCAATTGTATATGTGGATGTTTCATTTTTGCCATTTTTCCAAACGTTTTCATAGAAACTTTGTCATAGATTGATGCGATGTTCGCGTGAGTTAATTTTTAAGCACCAATGTTACGCAATGTTGATACCATTATGTATAATTTGATATTTTAGGTGCATATAAATAAAACATTGTAATAAGTTTCAGTTTGCACAGACTTTATTTATCTTATCCTAAAAATATGTTGACTATTATTTGGATGCTTTTAGATACAAATGTTATATACGTTTGCATAGTTGTTTATATATATGTATAAAAGACTTGTTTGTAAAATCAATTCACTATTTTGCATTCACTGTTAAATATTGCCTGCTATAGTTTGAACATTTTCCTACCTTAACGCAGTGCCTGGTGGAGTAAATTATGTAGAATGTGCATTAAAGGACTGTTACATGAAATTCAAAAGATCCCATTATTTAAATAGAATGGCTTTATGGATTACTGCCCTTGTATTGCTGCAAACAAGCAATGCGTATGTGAGGTTAAATCAATTACCTTAACTGAGATGTGCCTTACGTCAGCCAAACAGCATTACTGTGTTGCTACATGTTGTGAATACGTGAAAGGTTTGATTCAGGGTCATTGGTAAAGTCAAAGTGAATGTGCCATTTTAGAGTGTATTTAAAAGTGAGACAAAGTTGGGGGAAAGTCAGTCCATTAACAACTTCACACGATTCACACGAACCTGCTTGTGTCCATGATATAAACGAACAACACGATGTATTGACAAACAATGTTGTTGTCTACACGAGCTGCCCATGGCAAAATAAGTGCCCAGTACCAACCCAGCAACAGACTCAGCACGTGTTCAGATACAACTCTCCAACGATGTTAGTGACGGCTGGGAATCCAGCTGAGGTTGACTGGTTTATAGAGCAGTGCATGAACCATATCGCCGTGCGCATAAAAAAAATAAAAATAAAAAGATTGACTATATAGTCATGCGGATTGTAAGAGCAAGTATTATGAGTGAGCACCTATTAAGGCCGCCTGGTCACACACCACACCTTCCCTTCCTGCGACACCGCTCCACAACGCGTGCACACACACACACGTACATGCTCACCTACAAATATTCGCATGGCAAAAGAGCAGAATGTGGAAGGCAAACAATGTGTTGTTGTTGTTGTCTCTCGATACGTTTTGATAAGGGCTGCTGATCACATCCTGCCACAAGGAGCAGCTTTCATAAAAAATATATATATATAAGGATTTGTTTATTTCATTCCATACGTGCGTTTCACTTTATTTCCGTTCCTCATTTATCCATTGTAGGTGTGTCTACTATGACCAGCTTTCCACTCATTCAGCTGTTTTTCTGTAAAATGTTGCTTGCTTTTGCATTGCTACTTCTATATTAGAAATGCTAAGTAAGTAAAATCATGTTTTTTGCTGGAGTACAGCAAATATGCAAATAAAATGCATCGTAAGGTTTCAACAAAGACAGATTATATATTTAAAAAAATGTTGCCTATTTATATTGTTGAGCATCTATTTAGCACTCTTGCTTTTGATTTAAAAAGTGTTTCATCAATGGGATACAATTATGAAAAGTAACGATGCATTGGATGAATGATGTGCAATATCCATCCCAGTTGACAATGATGAAAATATAAAGCATACATCCCATATCTAAGTAAAATTTTGGCAAGTATTTTTCGTGAACTTTAATTTACAGAAGACATTTCACCCATATGCTCATTACTTGTATGGATGTGGTTGTTTTGTAACGACGAGTTTAATATCATGACGTGGCAGCTGAAGCAATGAGCAAGTTTCTTACCCCCCCCCCCCCCCCCCAAACTCTATCCACCCAGTATTCATGGGTACACCATAGTTGGTCGATCAGCAGATCGTTTGTGGTGGGATAAAGTGTGGGTACACCAGCTCTCTCATAGTGTCTGCCCACTGTGGAAGAGTAGGCGAAATACACCCTCGAGAGGGGCTGTCTAGCTTCCTCCAGTGAAGGTATTTTCACCAGCAGTGGTGTGAGCAAGCAATTGCAGGGCTGCAACTTTACCATTTTTTCAATGCTCATGCTACCAAAGTCCATTTAAATGATGGGAGGTATCTACAAAAAACATATCATGGGGCATATTCAGACTGAGCCATACCATATTTTTGGGGTTATTTTATTTCAAATTACCTTTGCTGGATTTTTCACATAATACAGTACTAATTGTCAATCGATTAAGTACTATAAGGAAAAAAAACTATTGCAGCGTGAATGAATTGCAGTTTCAACTTTTCTGAACGAGTGACGACTTACAATTGACTCAACCAATAGCGTTGCCACGACAGATTTTTTTTTTTACGATGTGATATCGTATCAAACTTCATCTTTTCAGAAATGTGCTTCATGGCTTCAACTGCCACGTCAAGAGGTCGAACCAGCTATCTCTGGTTTCCAAGACCAGTGTGCTAACCATTACACAACAGCAGCATCACCCCATGATGGATTATGGGTAATACAATAATATAGAGACGAGGATTCTGTCTACCATGTGCAAATAAAAACTACATTTTGGCCCATCATCCCGTGGGTATTCTGGACCAGTGTTTGCCAGCAGAATTTTCTAAGCTGAACCCATTTCATCTTTCCTAGTGCAATGGGCTGTCTGGGTTATCTGGGCTACCTTGGCTGCCTAGGCTGCGTGGGCTGCCTAGTTGCTTGGGCTACCTGGGCTACGTGGGCTGCCTGGGCTGCCTGGGCTACGTGGGCTGCCTGGGCTACGTGGGCTGCCTGGGCTACGTGGGCTGCCTGGGCCACGTGAGCTGCCTAGGCTGCCTGGGCTGCCTGGGCTACGTGGGCTGCCTGGGCTACGTGGGCTGCCTGGGCTACCTGGGCTACCTGGGCTACGTGGGCTGCCTGGGCTACGTGGGCTGCCTGGGCTACCTGGGCTACGTGGGCTGCCTGGGCTACCTGGGCTACCTGGGCTACGTGGGCTGCCTGGGCTGCCTGGGCTACCTGGGCTGCCTGGGCTACGTGGGCTGCCTGGGCTACGTGGGCTGCTTGGGCTACGTGGGCTGCCTGGGCTACGTGGGCTGCCTGGGCTGCCTGGGCTACGTGGGCTGCCTGGGCTGCCTGGGCTACCTGGGCTACCTGGGCTACGTGGGCTACCTGGGCTGCCTGGGCTACGTGGGCTGCCTGGGCTACGTGGGCTGCTTGGGCTACGTGGGCTACCTGGGCTACCTGGGCTACGTGGGCTGCCTGGGCTGCCTGGGCTACGTGGGCTGCCTGGGCTGCCTGGGCTACCTGGGCTACCTGGGCTGCCTGGGCTACGTGGGCTGCCTGGGCTACGTGGGCTGCTTGGGCTACGTGGGCTACCTGGGCTACCTGGGCTACGTGGGCTACCTGGGCTGCCTGGGCTGCCTGGGCTACGTGGGCTGCCTGGGCTACGTGGGCTGCCTGGGCTATGTGGGCTGCCTGGGCTACCTGGGCTACGTGGGCTGCCTGGGCTACGTGGGCTGCCTGGGCTACCTGGGCTACCTGGGCTACGTGGGCTGCCTGGGCTACGTGGGCTGCCTGGGCTACCTGGGCTGCCTGGGCTACGTGGGCTGCCTGGGCTACGTGGGCTGCCTGGGCTACCTGGGCTACGTGGGCTGCCTGGGCTACGTGGGCTGCCTGGGCTACGTGGGCTGCCTGGGCTACCTGGGCTACGTGGGCTGCCTGGGCTACGTGGGCTGCCTGGGCTACGTGGGCTGCCTGGGCTGCCTGGGCTACCTGGGCTACGTGGGCTGCCTGGGCTGCCTGGGCTACCTGGGCTACCTGGGCTACGTGCATTACTTGGGCCGCCTGGGCTGCGCGGGCTTCCTGGGCTGTGTGAGCTGCTTTGTGGGCTGCGTGAAACCTGCTCAGTGCCGCACAGCCAAATTAAACAAAAAGTATGACGTGCTATCAGTGGATTTAACAGACATATGTCTGTTTATAATTATTAACGAAGTAACTCATGTTCTTCAGCAGCAATTGACTAACTTATTTCGAATTTCCATTCATTTTTCCCATTTACACATAGGCTGCTGGAAAACGAGTAAAACGTCAATGCGGAGTGCATTTCATAAAAGTGAGCCCCTTGTTTCGTGATTGAGAGACGCCCATGCAGGGGATAAAGTGAACAATGTCAATCCTGGTAACTGAAGCCAATGATCTTCAAAATGATGCATGGTCTGTAATAATTATAATGAGATTGATGCCCAATGCACACTCACTAAAGAGCAGAGAGCTTCAAAAGATGGGCAATGCTTTTAATAATCATTTGAAATTGTTTATAATTGCTTGCTCCTGCTGTTGCTATATACGAGCCCATACGATATAGCAATTTCATCCAAACAAAATAAATGGACATACAGGAGTCAATTATAAAGAATATCCTAATGTGGCGGATGCGTGTGGCTTTTATATGTTGCTTAGCTTGTGTCTTTGCTATGTGCACAAGTGAACGGACACAAAGGGGTGTTGGGCACACTATCGTTCACTCCTGACCACCAATGCCTCCCCCAGTGGTAATTTTTCACTCGCAACACAGTGCTCATCTTAGGTTGACCAAGGGAAGTCAAAGGCCAGGTTTAAATTACATTCGCTGATCTTATTCTGAATTATGGCCAGGAATTGTACCCCAGGTGGTTGGGATTTATGGTGCGATGTGCCAAACACTAATACACCATTCTCTGTACACACACAAAACCAACAATCCCTGTTCCGCCTTAAAATCCAAATGTTAGCAAGCACATATTAAGGCCAGTGTGGCACAAGAAGGAGTGGTGTGGTCAACACTGTGGCCGGCCACCTTTGTTTCATCATTGACGATGGTTACACATTGCAACAGCTGCTGATTCGAGGCCAATTTAAGGCACCAGTTGCCACTCGATTCCTGGCCACAGAAAATAACAATCGGTGGCAAGTCGAGCTCGACGATGTGTTTTCGGGTTGTACCGCACGCATTAGGGCATGACGTTTCGTTCTCCGTGCCGTGAGTCTCTTCAAGAACGTTGGACATCGCTCCAAAACATCGCACGGTACAACCCGAACATCCATCGGAAAGCCGCACAGCACGACCGCAAAAAAGACCTCGACAGCAACATCAGTGGCAAGCGGTGAAGGTGCTACTTTTACACCGATGATATCAGTGATGAGGAATTGAACCCATGTCTCTAATATGTTTTGTACAGTGTGATAACCACTGCAGAGCCACTGCCCTTAAACAAACACACACAGACACTTGCAAACATAATCAATTATAAATAAGTGTGGCATCCAACGGGGATTCACACTCATAACACGGGGATGAAATGTGGTAACGTGCGTGATAACATATGCCCCCAGATGACGTGCACAAACTATTGCGCACACACTGGCCAATTTTAATAAGTGCGGTATCCTACAGGGGCTCGCTTCTAAAGAATGACTACAGCAGGCACTCCAGACACTGCAGCCTCGTGTTAATATCGGAGGGCAGAAGGTGAAGGACACGTGCTTCATATCCATCCTGTGCAGTTTGCACTTAAATTTTTGTTGTTTTTATTTTGTATTGAAAGCCACTCCAACTTTCCCACAGTGGAAAACTGTTTCACAGACATTTTCTACGTTATTTGAAGCTTTCGTGACTGCAGGAATCCATACTCTTTGGTTATTTCGGTAAAGTCACGTGGGTATTATTTTATACCTACGTGACTTTACCGAAAGTACCAAAGAGTATATATTTTCTACTTTTTGCTTAATCCACAAAAAAATGTATAATACAAGATGCGGTCATCATTTAAAAAAAAATGAATTTTTTTAAATGTGCACCGATGTAATGTTCGACATTTTGAAGCGACACCTTATCATACTCATGACATAAATAATAGAGAGGGGAATTTGGTTGAGTTAAAGGAAATTATGCTCAAATGTGCATTGTGGAATTGATGCTCATTTCGCGTTAACAGCGCTGAGCCTATTCATAGGACAGCCACCGATGACTTCCCCAAAAACAAGTAGTTCTAGTTTTATCGAACCCATAGCGATTATGGGCCAAGTCAACCCCAATACTTGCAGTGCAACGTCACTAAAGAAACAGCAGCATAAAAGCATCGCGGGTGGGGGTGGTGGTGGGGGTGGTGGTGGTGGGGGTGGTGGTGGGGGTGGTGGTGGTGGGGGTGGTGGTGGGGGTGGTGGTGGTGGGGGTGGTGGTGGGGGTGGTGGTAGGGGTGGTGGAGCGGTGGAGCGGTGAGCGCTAAGCTGCGCTATGAACCCGGTGACACAGGTTCGATTCCCGCTCACGGCCAACACTGGGCCTCCCCTAGTTCGACTCAGCCTCAAATGAATACCCGGTGCGGTGTGTAAACATCGCCACTGGGGAGACAAAGGCGGTCGGGCGTTCTGCTGGCCACCCACCCCCTCGTGTACCGTGCCGACCTTCATAGGTGCTCGCTAACAGCACTTGTCCCTACAGTATGTTAAGGCTATACGGGGGATCTTTGTATTTGTCTTTGGTGGTGGCACTGCGCTATGAACTGAGTCATCTAAGTTCGATTCCCGGTGCCGCTTTCACCAAACCGCACTGATTAGCGTGGTTGGTGAAGCATGGTTAAACAGTTCCCGTGGCTGACACTATGTTGAGGCCTTCGTCTAGCAATGCACACAATGGCTCATCTTTGTGGCCATACATACCGTGCATACTAAAAAACTACCACTGTATTGTATTGGCATAGAGACACAGTGCAATAAAAAAATGCCGTTTCACGATTAACTATTTAAAAGTCTACATATAAATGGAAATTAAAAAAACTATGAGTTACATATTTATGCGAAACAACTTTCTATGTTTTGGATGTAGTGTGGTGAAAATAAAATATTTCTCAGCTGTATATTTTGTTTATTCATAACGGTTATTTGGTACCAGCTAGAATTAAATGGTATTAACAATAAAAAAATATTCAATCTTGATTTGAAGCTTTCGTGACTGCAGGAATCCATACTCTTTGGTTCTTTCGGTAAAGTAACGTAGGTAGAAAAATAAAATAAAATAAAAATAATATATCGCGACGTTTCGATCGCAACACAAGCGGTCGTCCTCAGGTGGAAAAAAATAATCCAGCAGTGGAACTGCTGAACCAGGAAGAAACACAGCGAGAGAGCTGTTGCAACAAGAGTATATATGTGGTGATGGGCAAGCAAGCGGGGTCTGAGCTAGAAAGGAATTCCATCCCCGGACGCAAGCACGTCAGTTGTGTTAATGGGGGAGATTAGGGAGAGAGATTAGGGAGAGAGATTAGCATGAAATGAGCTTCCGTTTCCGCATAAGAGTATCATCCCCGCATATGCGCACAACAGCAGTGTTAATGGGAAATTAGCACTATGTTGATGGGAGAGATTAGGCAGGGAGATTAGGGGGATTAGCAAGTTGATGTCATGTCCGTGTAACACAAGCTGCGGCGCTGCCAACTGCACTCTGAGAGGCAAGCGCGTCCACGCAAGAGAACCACCACAACGGTGGTCGCGCCAGTGAGACACACAGCCCATCACACAGCCAGAAGCATCGAGAGCAGAGGTGGCCATGTTAGTGAGACCCCAGCCCGTCAATGCAGAGGCACCTAACAGGGCAACCGTTTGGATAGCTACCGCCTTAGTGCTGCGTGGAAGCGAATCATCAAATAATACATTATATAAATGCATGCCTACAAATGGCAGCGTACTTCAACAGGGATTACCGTTGGTAGGGCTATTTTAATAAACACAATAGACAGGAAGAACGAGTTCAAAGGGCTCGCATAATGCACATGCATAATTAACGTTGCCTCAGTAATCCCCCCCCATATTGTGTAAGAGCGCAGCTGCGTGGTCCACACGTCTACGCCTCTATATAAGGAACGAAACAATAAGACTTCTCCACAAATCTGGCTGTCGCCTGATGAAGCTAGTTGTAATTATTGGCAAAACGTCGTACTCAGATTGTAAATGTTGTGAATTTGCTCTCCAACACACCGGTGTGCTGTACTAGTGACGAATTGGCCACGTTCTGTTTACGTGACAACCCTTACTAGTAGGCTGTGTCGGGTGGTAGCGGGTTTTAACGACACAACATTTATACATTTACGCGATCTAACCCAAAAACCTCTATTATGGAACATATGACTCTGACATTCTCCATATTCTACAAGTATTCTACAAGTACGAGCCGAGGTTTTTATCTTTATAAATAAAAGTATTTTTAAAAAATAAGAGCAAGCAAAATAAGTGATGTACCATTCCACCATTAATAAGTATTATACACCATCGAGATTTATCAGGGAAATGCTTTTCTTTTTCAATGCAGCCAAGCGATGGAGGTAAGTTACATTTATGGCTCAAAAGTTTCACCATTTAAAGAGCAACCACAGCAAAACTTCAGTTGAAACTTTCGCTCCAAGCTAATGCACGCATTCATCCTGATGTCTGCATACACGCCTGTGGGTGTCCGTTTTGTTTTCACGCCGTTGCAGTTATAAAAGGTAATTAAACCGCGACGGAAGATAACACCGGAAATAGCATGTGCCATTTGAACACGATGATAGGAACACGCAAAGGCAGTACCCGACGGCTTTATTTAGGTTTGGGCCATGCGAAGGAACATTGCAACATCGTTGTGCAACGAAGTCTTGTGCCGGGAAGTTGTGTTGTGCCCGTAGTAGGCCACAAGGAGTATTTTAAATGCTTCAAAATGTAATTAAATTGTTTCCACTCGACTTGCGCTGAAGAGTGCCGTTAATGTGATCGATCACCGTAGTAAAAGCCAAAGACTCTCAACTCCTTGCAACTTTAGCGTATCTTTGGCAAAATAGTTGTTATAATAAAAACAATAACGATGATTTGTGGCATTTACAAAGGTTGCATTGCGAAGTCAATTTCGGTTGTTGTGCTAATGATCAAATCT